CTTCTACTCTCTCTCTCTCTCTCTTCCCCTCTCTCTCTCTCTCTCTCTCTCTCTCTCTCTCTCTCTCTCTCTCTTTGGGAGTATGACTTTCGATAAAGCAGAATGACAGACCAGTATTCGTGTAGCTAACTTCAAATAGTTGGAAAAGGGCTCTAATGATGATGATATTGTGGATAATATGAACTTGTTAGTTGTTTGGTATCTATCTTGTATTATGCATAATATTATTCAATGGAAAAGCTTTTTATATTTCACCTACTGTATATAAGTTATATACTTCCCCCTATCCAGTCATCCGATTTAAATGGACATTTGAGATGGACCTAATCACAATGTCATGCATCTACACTGTTTTGTTTTTTATTTTTTTACAAAGCATTTGACACAAAATTTTGAGCACCCACTCCTCTTTTGAACTCACTCCTGAGAAAATATAAAACGATATTTTTAATAAAATAAAATGACCAAAATACTCATAAACTTTCAAGATTATTTTGGTCATTTTACTTTTAGAGGCATTTTGGTTATTTTATTTTTTAATATATTTTAAATATTATTATTAAGTTCACCCCATTAATGATGGAATGTACCAAATTTCATAATCATCTGATTTGTCAAAAAAAAACTAAAAATGAAATACTCTAAGATGTCGGATCTTAGATTAAACAGTGGTTCACTTAATCTAAATTGGATGGCTAGATAATTTATTACGAAGATTAAATTTGTTGAAGAGTGAATAGTTAGTAATAACAAGTACACATCCAAAGAGGCCTTAGCCTTTATATCCGTCGATTACTTGCTTGGAAGCAAGGTGTCCTGTATACCATGTTACACTTAATTTATTATTTTCCAAAGAACCCCTAAGGAGTAAACTAATTCAAACCTCTGAAAATCTTAACAATTATAATAAAATTTTTGAAAATTCCATGGTCATTATGAGATAAAAGTGCTCCTAAATTTTTGAAACCGATCAAGAGAATTCATTTAGGGTAGAAAACTTAACAAATGAATACCAAAAAAAAATCATTAAAACAACCAGGAAATTTACAGTGAATCCAATTCTGAAGAGCTTAAGTTCCAAGTAAGCAATTCAAATAGAGATTCAACATTGTTGGTCACACTCAATTGTCAATCTGGGGATGGAAGAGGATCTAAATATGACTAAGATGGATTTCACTAACACATGAGGAACAAGAAAAAATCATTGCATTCATCAAGGAATACCAAGATGTTTTTGTCTGATCCAAAGCGATGTGGGAGAATGCAACGGCAACGATATTATGGGAGATATGGCTGGAACGTAACAGGTGGATCTTTGAGGGCGAGGCTTTGAAGTTAGAAATGGTGAAACGAAAGATATTGAATTCTATTTGGAATTGGTTCCCGAAAACTAAAGTAGGTTTTGGAGTTACAAAAGTAGATGTGGAAGTGAATTTACACAATCTGATAAATCAGAAACTGGTGAAGGTGAGATCGAGGGGAAGGTGGATGCCACCTGCTATGGATAGTGTGAAATTAAGTTTTAATGGTAGTTCATTGGGTAACCCTAAGCCTTCAAATTTCAGAAGTATTCCTAAAAACTCAGATGGAGGTATTATCTTTTGCTATGTAGGGCATCACGAGGAGGTTACTGCCGATGAAGTGGAGCTTGAGGTGCTTGAACAAGGATTGCAATAGGTATATCAGCAGGGTTTGCAGACACCATGCATCTTTGAAGGAGATTCCCTTAACGTCATTAATTGGTGTGACCATGTTCTTAGGTCTCCTCGGCGATTGAGAAGAAATTAGATGAACATCATGGATCATTGTGCAGCAT